AAGTCCATTAATTTTATTGTTCTCCAGGTCATCTCATCTTTAGAACTAATGCAATTTAGTCGTTCAATTTTTATGGTGTAGACTTTAATCTCCAAAATTGTAGATTTCATTCAATTTCAGCATTCTTTTCTCACATTCTTCGTTAAACATAAAGTTTTACTTACAAAACATAAATTAACATAAATTAGGTAGAATTTAATCCAAAAGACAATAAAATATCATGATCTAGGGGCACAAATAAATGTACAAAATACACTAATCAAGAAACCTTCTTTTTTACACCTATACTACATATTTGCGATCAAACAACTACAAACCAAATAAACTTATCTTGCTACAATATTTAAGAAGACTCGATTCTTTAGGGCATGTAACTTCCACTGCAACATATAAGATCGATATACCCAATTGATTTATGGCTATGAAACGAGGCAAAATCATATGGAATACAACTAAGATGCAGTACTCTATTGTTCCACCATCATACCCAATATTGGCTTGAAGCCTGTAACGCATAAAATATATTGTGTAAAAAATTTGGGAATTCCTCTAAGAATGGTTCATTTATGATTTTTATCTTAATGCTGAACGGTCTAGAGGCAAGTAGACGTTGAGGTCTGAAGCTACGGTTGGCTGTAATGAACCAAATTCAATCGAGTGCGAGTCGAGATGGAACTGGTGATTTCGATACTACTAAAGAAGCCATTGACATCATTCCTTTGTACAATACTCCAAGAATGATATTGGACACAAAACCGGGTTTTTGTAGGTATGTAATCCCTGTTTCAAAGGCAATTAATCATTTTTTTGTATTTGGTTTACAGATTGAAAGTTTGGGAATTGAAAGTAACAAAATAGGATTATGTGTAGGGAAAAGAACAATGTATTTCATAACATCTTCAGGCAATGCCAATGATCCACCTAGGCTAGTATCATGGGCAATGACACCGCCTCTGTGACAGGAAGAGATGGGACGCTGCTATGCCACCGTTGCCATCCATGGGGATTACTTCGTCGCCATCAACATGAAGTTTGATTGCGCTTGTATACATTGGAGCATGATCTTACATGTATTAGATCGCCCTAGTAATTTTACTACATAAAGGGCTCAAGAGGTGTGCTAGCAAGTGGATGTAACATCTTGCAAATTTGTGTTACTTATTGCTCTCGTAAAAAGTAAGAGGGATAATGGCTTATCGCTTAATACCCAACATTTTGTTGCCCACGAGTAGCTCGTGATACATTTTCCCTAAGGGGAACATGTTCTTGTTTGATTATCTTGGGTAAATTTCATCTTCACTAGTCCAGAACTTTAAGTGAAATTGAGTTATTAAACTTTAATTTATCTTAATCGAATAAACTTCAATTAAGCTAGCTAGTTTTAAATTTCATTATTCTATTACATTTTTTTCACATATCATCCTCTGAATTGATATAAATTACTTGGTTGACCGTTACAAAATAATTGATCTTCCACCAAATTACTACTTAGCATTCTAGAAATAAAAAAAGTTCATATGAGTTTATATCTTCATAGTAAATTATGACAAAAATTCCTTGATCGGGTGTTGATGATGTAGTACAAAAATTAATTATTAAACGACTTTTAAGTATTTTATTTATTTGATTATGATGCTTTACCTAGCATGGAGATGAAATTGACAAAGATTTTGAGAAAGCGTATTAGTCCCTTGTCTCGCACTAGCTAGCTGATGAAACAGTTTCACCATAATTAGTTGAACAATCATCCTACATGTACATCATATTTTACATCAAGTTTGACAACATATGAGTTGGCCAATTTTAGTATATTGATTTTAATAACACTTTTTTTTCCAATCAATGACCATATTTTCTAGGACCGAGCTTGTGTGTCAGGGATGGTGTCACACTCTCCCTGATAGGACACACATTGGGGAAGGGGTGAACATTTTTTCTTCATCTTTTATTTCACGTGGGTCCCCATGTCGGTTCCACGTCACGTGAGTTTAGGTCACCCAAGTGGGAAACCTCTTCTGACACATCAGCTTAATTCTATTTTCTATACGTAGGAGTGTTGTCAACCAGCTTTGTACAATAAGCATAATTGTTAACCGAAAGGTCAGCATGGTCTTGTTGAGAAGGACTTTCCACATGTTCTTTAATTAATAATGCTGAATTTAGGCACCGTTTGATAACCATTATTCTAGAAAAAAAGTATTATTTGTGTCAAATCACACCTTTTTTGTGGTAGAAAATGAAGGAAAAGTTATTGATGTGATGAAAAATATTATTTTATTGATGAATGTGTGGTTGAAAATTAGTAGAAGAATGAGAATGAAAAAAAGAATGGTTACCAAACGGTGCATTATACATAAACCATAACTTTTAATGTTGACTATCGTTGTTGGAAACAAAGCATGCAGAAGCTGTCAATTCGTAACTCCACCATATCCATTAATCTGTCTTAATTTGGTAGATAATTGATACAACTTTATGCACAAATAATTTTGCCAAACAAATACATATTTTACAGAACAAAACTTTCCCCATCTACTAACATAAGATCGAATGTTTTTCCCTATATCCTACTCCTAATTGTGATCTTCCAGCAACAAAGAATATACTTTTACAAGGGATTTACTGCCTTTTACAAGGGTATATTACCGTCGTAAATACTATGTTTACTTGTATGACTTATGGTTGGTTTTTGAACAAGTCGAGACGATGGTCTGCCAAACGTAAGGAATACACGGCATTCTTGTACTCTCCCCAAGTAAAATGCCTGTAAAGACGAGGATTTTGAGACGAGATCATTTGTGGTATAGGAGATAAACATGCATCGAGGGGTGGAGCTCCGAAGTACATCATTGACATTCTCGTCTTCACGTGGTTTGCGAGTACCCGGTGTCTCACGCTCACAAGCCTTCCATTTGTCAAAGCCTGAACATTTCACAGTATATATGACTTATTTTAGCAGATCAACTACATCGATCTTAGTATTTTCATTAGTCAATGCTGGAAAGATTTTCAATTTCAAGACCAAAAGAATTATATATAGAGAAGGGTTCGAGACATGTCACAAGTCACAACGTGTCACTTTCCAGAAAGACACAACTTTTCTTGACGTAAATATTGCTTTTGTATTTTATGTTGGAAATTATTCTAGAACTAATTCATTTAAGATTATTCTACCTGTACATTAAGGATTTCGTAATGTATATGTGGCATCCTGTCATTGATTGATTGGAGGAAATTCCTCCAACCAATGACATAGTATCACATGTATATTGTGTAACCTTTGACGTACAATAGCAAAGTCCATTTAATTAACGTGCGAGGAAAAATGACACTAACCTGCAAGGCATCACCCACGAATACGAAGAACTGATTGGAGTCAGGGGGGATGGGAATCCATAAACCATCACGCGAACAAATTTGAAGGCCACCCACATCGTTTGATCGCAAGATTGTCAAGATCTGAGGGTCGGAATGCTCTCCAAATCCAATATGAGTTGGTTTGACATTACAAGAATATTGCTCATCAAACAAGTTGGGTACTGAAGAGTCAGTAGTCCTAATTGGAGGATAGTGATTGATCCTGAAGCAGGAGTCACTATTTACATCTTTGATAAGTTTGCTAAATATGGACTTGTCTTTGACCCGTAGCCCTTCCGCCACTAAATCGAGAATTTCACATGCCAGGTCCTTAACTGCTTGTACATAAACATTTACAGTACAACTGCAACAAAAAGCAAACGAAAAATATCAGTTCAATCCTCCAACCGACATACATGATACATATCTATTATTTAAAAAAACTGTGGAGGTGTCAAACTTTTGATAAAAAAAAAAAAAAACATGATGGGACGTCTATGAACAGAAACTTCTGGTTTGAAGGGTTGCACGTGTGAACAATCTGACCAGAATAATATAATGAATTGTTAATGACAAGTTGACCAGATTGAAAAGTAGTTGTAAAAACCTTAATACAAATCTTAATTGCATGCATTACCTGAAGTTATTAGAAATGGATTTGGATGTTTCAGATATGGATTGAGGATTGGCTTCGAGGAGAATATATTCAAGCTCGCCTTTATCGCCATTGAATCCAATATTTTTGCAGCCATAACCAAAGGGAGTAGCAGGTCCAGCTCGTTGTTTTTCCAATAAAGATTTTGAGAAAAATTCTGAACCTTCTGTCTCAGTTCTGGAAATTACATCTGCGGAAACTCCATGGTTAACCACCTTGAAGAAACCATATTCTTCACTTGCCTTTACAATTTGTTCAGACAGTTGAGACCTGTCGAGACTAAGATCTATGATGGGAATTCCGAGGGCTCTTGTTTTCTTGCTTCGAAATGGAATTGCAGAAGACACGACCATCCTGCTGCTTTAATCAATGAAATAAGAATACAAATTTTGAAGTTTAAGGTTGAGAGCGAGGGACAATCGTATATATGGGCACTGGCGATGACCTTTGACCGTTGAAGAAAACATATGGGGAACACTCTTGATTATAACATATAATAATTCCACAAGATAACAATTCATTAAGTTCCAAGAGGAACTTGTCGATTATGTTTTTTTAGTTAGAAAAATGGGTCGTTAAGAAAAATTAATTCAGTACGCAACCTATTAAACGTAAATTGAACTTATTTTACATCGGTTGCTTGATATTACACTAAATGAATAGTAACGAGATTTGAATTTAACGACTGTGGAAATTAAGAGTAAAGCCAAATGTACAGAATAATTGTTCACGGAATTCTTACCAATACTCACAATGTGTGGGTCCCACTAAAATAAAAAATGCCAAAAAATTCCACATACCCCTGTCTCCTATTGTGGGTGTGTGTAAATGGTTTGTGAACCATAATTTATGTACATCAAGCAAAGTTCAGAAATTAATTTCTATCGGAAAATTTACATTAATATATTAAAATTTTAAGATGATAGTCATATAGACAAGAATTTCACGTGCACGAATGTTGGTTTGAAAAGTTTAAAACATGGTAGTGGCGGTTTGTCCCCTTTCAATTGGAATATTCCAACGTTGCCATTCGTGCCTAATGGGAATGTCCCAAACATCCAAGAGGAAAAGTTCTCGTTCCACGCGGATGTTTGACTTAAAAGCTGCTAATAATTTAAAAATGTTTTTAGAAAAAAAAATTTGTCCACGCTCAGATAAAAAATTGAATTAAAATTTAAGTCCAAATAAATAATTAATTTTAACAACAAATTTAAGAAAAATCGTAATATTTCTATCACATATTTCATCAATTTTTATATAAAAAAAATTATTTAAAATCCGATTTCCACCAAACAGGAACTATATATTTATTTCATTTAAATTTTATTGTCACCTTCACTTAGTCTTATTACTTGGTTTTTTTTAATTTCAATTTATTAAACAACAGAAAGTGCTTTGCTACTCATACCCGGAAACCCTTTGGTTAGCAAGTTTATTGTTCTTTTTTAAAAGAGGTTGAACCACAATCTTGAGGGTCTCCCATCGCTCCGCCCCTAAAGCATTGTGGAAGAAGTAAATCGAGAAATGTGTCTCAAGTCTCAACAGACCAGGGTACAAGAGCTAGTGCCCACAAAGAGTCCAAGTTTATTGTTCTTTTTCCTTTCATTTCCACATTGTCAAAGGTCACATTCAGTTGTTGGAGTTGTGATATATTCTCCCTATTTAGTTGTCCTCTTTCAAATTTATCGATACACCAATACATTAAATTCGTGCTTTATTTTTTTTTAAATTAGAATTTTAATAAATTTTGATAAAATTTAATAAAATGAATGGTTGAAATATTGATAAGAGTTGTGAAGTTCATAAAATATATACTTATAAATAACTATTTACTGTTAACTTATATTTTTTATCAAATTTCGTAACTAAACCAAGTACGAGCTATTTCCCGTTAGTAATGTGAAGACATCATTTGTTATATTGCCCATGTTTGGCGTAGATTAAAAGTTGTTAAAATTGATAATTAATTTTAACTATATATTTCATCAATTTATTTTTTATCAAAATTTATTAAAAATTTATTTTAATCTATACCAAACAGGTATTATATTATCATTTTCTAATTTATTAATAAAAGCTGACACGTCGAAATATAAATATTTATTGAAGTAACAATCAAGGGACAACAAAATGAAAAACAGAACTTTACTTAGGCACGTCGGTGAAAAGTCAAGTCTATTATTGCAGGCGGCATCAAATGAAAATTATTTACGTGTGACTTGGTCAACTGCTACAGGAAAAATATCAATAAACAACTCAGAGAGTGACCCTTTATCCCTGTTTGTTTTAGATAATTGATCCTCATGAAAGATAAATAATTAGTTTATTTTATTGGATTAATTAAGTTGGTGACATGAACACACGTGAGTAGTAGTTAAAATGCTGCTAATATAGCGGCCAAAAATGACAATTTAGCGGCTGTTTTCCAGACTTTTTTAAAATTCTAAGACTCGGGTAAAAAAAAAAAAAAATGATACGTAGCTTGCTAGATTCTTCGATCATCTACTTTATTAAGTAGAGACGGGAAATATCAGTTGAAGAGAACCCATAAAAGCCATCTATAGATGTTTTACGTCCAATCGTTCATAATAACATTTGCATCGTCCGTTTCGCTGTGATTGTTAACACAGTTTCAATGCTTATTCTAATTGCTAAAAAATAAAAATTTGTTGAAATAGATGATTGAGAAACTTCATCTTTTTTTTTTTTATGATCCAAGTGTTCAAGTTTCGCCCGACTAATCCTGAGAAGTGTCGTCTTCCCTCCTGATTCGCCATCCGAGTTAATCCGGATGCGATCATAGTTTATACACACTTGGGTCGGACATTCGACGATTCTCCTCTCAGTGGACCTCTGTCTTCCACATAGATGTTGCCTTCCAGCTATCGCAAGAATTCGAACCTTCAATATGTCGTAGAGAACCTCCTACTTTATCACTGTGCCATGTCCGTGGAGCCCAAAAACTTCATCTTTGGTTCGACACTTGGAGCATTTTGGTGATATGAAGCAAAGCATTGTGAGCAGAACAGAACGTGCCGTCCCAACAGTGTACCTATATTCTATGCCAATTGCCGGTTAATTATTATTGCTTTAATAAAATGCCAATTCCAAAGTACCTACTACCAGACATTGGAATTCTGTAATATTTAATTTCCGACAAAGAATGTCTGTCATTTCAATATACATATTTATAGTACAAGACAAGACAAGACTGGTATGGTGGTTATTGTCCTCCAATCCATTCATAAACAACCAAATGAGAGAGAGAGAGAGAGCGAGAGATTATTTTTAAATTTGGAGAGAATTAGGGGTCATTCTTTTCGTGTTTCAATTTTGTGTTTTGAGTTTTAAATTCACTTTGTGTTTTGTGTTATGAGTGTCTGTTTTGAAATTTCTGAAAATGCGTTCTTTTTGTCATTCTGATAAACTGTTTTGAGAAATATGAAAATGGAAATCGCGTTTAC